GAGAGAAAGAGAGAGAGAGAGAGAGAGAGAGAGAGAGAGAGAGAGAGAGAGAGAGAGAGAGAGAGAGAGAGTGAGAGAGAGAGAGTGGGTGTTAAACTGTGGTTTCTCTCGAGCTGCAACAGAACAGAGTGCTGGTAGTTTATGAGAGCTGCCAGTACACAATAATCTTTCACTGCATGGCAGCACTGTCAGAAAGAGGCAGGTTAGTAAATTAATAAAAAAATAGTAAATAAATAAAAATCCTCTCGATTTCACACCCTAGACAGCCGCCAATACCACCGATCAGTCCTGGAGCAGTGAACAGATGCCTTCTCTTTATTTATGAATTGACAGAGAGGCACACATTCGAGAGCTGTTCTTCTGTATCATCATGACATCTGCAGCAGCTTGTGTCACTGGCCTCGTCTTTGATAGATCTGAGTCAGGAGTGAGACTCACTAAACTTGAGCAAACGAATGTTTGATTCATCTGCCATCTCACAGCACATGCCAGATTCATACATGTCATGTGTTTCTACTACTCTGCAGTGTTTGACTGCTGCATCGCTGCAGTGTTAGCCTCACTGTAACTGCAGATTGGTGAGCATGTTCTGACTTGTGTTTGTCATTCTGTCTGTCAGCGCACCCGTCTCCGAGACCTCGCCGTACGAGATGGTCCGCTCTCAGGAGCTCAACGCTCTTCTGGGCCCTAAAGCAAGCATGCAGGCGGTCGACCTGCTGTGTGACCTGCACAACACCACTGCAAACACAGGGCTGTGTCTCATCACATACTCCGACCGCGACTGGATCTGCCTGCACATCTGCAAACACCTGCAGGCACGCACTAACACTAGCTGATCTAGAAAACACGTGCAGTTCCCTTATATGCTTGATATCTGTTATGCTAAAGCATATTTATGTCCAACTTCTGTCAGTATTTGTGTGTTTTCAGAGAGAAATGGCCTCCACTCCTGTCAGATACGTTCACTTTGATATTCCTCTCAATGAAGCCTATTCTCTGGATTCAGTAGGGAAGCATGGATTTGGTGAGACACTTCATCTGAAAGTGTTTGTTGTTCACTCATCCATTCATTTTCCAAACATTGCTAACTGACTAGTTTATCAACATCTGTCTGGCATCACACACTGACAGAAATGAGTCCTGTTGCTCTCTGCAGATTCAGTTATTTTGAAGGAAAATGTTCAGCAGTATTAACGGCTGACGTCATTTAGACATGCTGTTAAACATCGACTCTGCAGTGAAATGCTGATTCAGACACTTCTTGTACAGTTATGCAGCTAATAGCTTATAGATGGACTGTAATGCTTGACTGCGCTGGGTTTGCTATTAATCAGATTCATTAAATAGACTCTAAACATTAAAAACATTTATTCTGAGACGAACATTGCTGAAATGTTGGACATGAAAGCAGTGGCGGCTGCAGCTTATGCTGCTCTCTTATCATCACCAGCCACAGCAAGATTCATGCATGCATCATCTATACAGCAATCCATCACAGCAAAGCCATGCATAAGTGTGTTTTAAATTAATAGCTTTTTAAATTAATATTCCCCATGGATAAGGATAGCATATGTTAAATAAATAAATGTAACAATATATTTGGAGTACTATACAAGTGCTGTAAGCTAGCTTGACAGACTCTTTTCCTCTCAGCGATGGAGATTGGGCCACAGCCTCACGGCGTCGTCAGGTCTGTGATATTCAGTGCCATGCAGGAAGGAGTTCAGCTGATGATGGACTGGATCTGTCAGTTCAACTCAGGTAGGTTTTCAGCCACAAACCCCTGCAGAAATCTGTTTGCTGTGTGTTTTCATGGCTTGCGTTCATCTCTCTGCTCAGGGACGCTGTTCGAAGGAGGATGGGTTGATGTGTACACAATGGTGAAGAATATCGACTATCCACGAGACTCTGAAACACACGTGATCACGGCCGCGGTCCATCCCGACCTACAGGTACAGAAAGATGATCAGAAACACTGCCACAGACTCCTCCAATCGCAGTGTTAACACCCTCCCTCTTATTTCCCTCTCGCAGGATAGAGATTTCTGCCTCCTTCACCCCGGAGACCCCATGTTCCTGTGTTTCTCAGGGGAAACGCTGCGCTACAGAGGGAAAGAAGCACTCTATCCGTTCTTCATAAACGAGGGTGCGTACTATGAGAAGGGTGTCGCTCTTTCCCTCGCTAGGAAGAGAAGAGTGCAGATTCCTTCAGTCCGCTCAGAGACGCTGAGATGAAGAAACACAAGCATGAACATGAGCTCAAGACGAGTTTATTACTGATGCCAGGGAACACTGCATGTGTGAAAAACAGCCAACTTTAAGATATTCTGAAAAACATACGTCCACTGTGTAAATAGTGCACAGATGATGTTTTTATTAGCATGGACACACAGATCACCAACTACACTGGTCAGTCTGTGCGGTTACACAACAGATCAGAGAGATACTGTATCCCATAATGCACCTGACACCACCTTCCATCTCCAGTGTGACGAATGAACCAGAATCCACATCAACAAGCACTGACACATCATCACACATGTAGCTTGTTAGCAATTACCAAAAATAAATGTACTGTACAGAAATAAATATGAATTATAGTAATAAATAACATTAATACATTTAAAAGCAGCACACTAAGATTACTGGCTGTTCGTGCTGCTTCACTAAAGCTAAAACACAAGAAGTCGAGCTGTTTGACGTTTCTAATACAGTATAAATCTGAAATCACAGATTGCATGCGTCACAAACACTGAGTGAAAGTTTATCAGTGCTTAAACTATAAAACACACACTCTTCAGTTCTTGGTTTTGAGTGCTGTTGCTGGAGTTTAGATTAGTTTCTGTTGCTGTTTATTTATCAGTTACACACAACTAGTTATGCATAAAAACATCAGCGACAGTCACTCTACACCTGCAACAGGGTCCAAAGCACTCGCCAAACGCGGGCCGTCCCGTGTAAAAACAATTACTTGCCGGTTTGCAGATAATGTTATTATGAACTGCATTTACTAAAAATGTAAAAGTAAAAATGTTTAAAAATCTATCCAAAAGCTATTTATTAAATAAACTTCCGTTAGAGAATCTGTCATGACTTACTCAGTGGACAATTCACCATCAGAGAAATGGTTATCCTAATGTCACAGGGACAAAACATCAACCCAAAAACATGCAAAATACAGTTTATGGTCGGTACATTTTAGTTTGTCTTTTTATCCCCCAGGAGGTGTTGCAAAGTGTGAATTTTGGACCCTCCCATCATGAATCTGGATTGACACACACACACACACACTTGTAGAGATTTCTCCAGAATTAAGGGCTCATTATCTCTCGAAAGTGCATCTGACGTTCTCAGAACAAGACTAGCAGGTGTCGCTCTTCAACACACTGACCACATTTATGTACAATAGATTCAGTGTCACTGTTCATTTTAGATTTTTTCTGTTTGATTGGATCTGAACCATGGCAGTCGCTCCGCTGATTTAAGCGACTCTGTAGACAGTCATGCGGTAGTAGCTCTGACTGTGGCTGCGAGCCGCCCACACCAGCAGCGCAGCGGCCATCATGTGCAGAGGAGACGCGATGAGCGCTAGATACAGCGACCAGCCCAGCGCACCGTCCACGTGATCCGGCAACACAGACACACGGTGCAGCAGGTCCATCCCGGCCAGAAAACAGCACACGGTTGCCAGAGAACACAGGCCTGAGGAGAGAAAACATCTCAAATCCAGCACAAAACCTCCTCAGTGATGAAGATACAACACCGTCCAGATGAACTGACAAGCATCTCTGACCTGCCAGCAGATGTAGAAGGCCAATGAAGAGCGCCGGGCTCAGACTGCCACACAGACACGCACAGAACCCCAGCAAACCACCAAGAACCACCAGACCCAGACAGACCAGCGGCAGCAGGAGCTGACACCGCCACAGATCTGCAGAGTTTCAAACATTTGACTTGTATTCAGAGCAACAAAAGGATGAATTACATATATATAAATTACACAAAGAAAAACAGATACGAGAGTGTGTGTGTGTGTGAGTGAGTGTGTGTGAGTGAGAGCGTGTGTTTATGTTTGTGTGCGTGTGTGTGTGTGTGTGTGTGTGTGAGTGAGTGTGTGAGAGTCTGTGTGAGCGTGTGAGTGAGTGTGAGTGTGTGCGAGTGTGTAACAATGTAATCAATATTCTGTTTATTAAAGCCAAGTATGAATCTCATCAAGTTAACGTTTTTAAGCATTTTACATTTATTCCAAAATAATAACTGAAGGCAGTAACAATTTCAACAATATATTTTATCTGTGAACTTATGTTCAGCTATTCTTTTTAATAGTGAACTTTTAACTATTTTTGAATTATTCGGTTCATCAGTGATCAAAGCTCAGTAAATATTGGTCAAGTTTCCACTGTCGGGCCAAAAGCGGTATACTCTCCAAAATGGCGCTAGGGTGACGCGGAGGAGACGAATTGTTGAATAAAGTCGTTTTTTTTTCTCTTGTGCACAAAAAGTATTCTCATAGCTTCGTAATATTACGGTTGAACCCCTGATATCACATGGATTATTTTACCGATCCCCTTGCTACGTTTCTGGACGTTGATCGTGGTAGTACCCTTGGTGTCTATGGGAGGGTCAGAGAGCTGTCAGATTCCATCATAAATATCTTAAAGGGGTCATATGATGCTCTTTTAAAGATCATTGTTTTGTGTCTTTGGTGTAACAGAATATGTTGACATGCTTTAATGTTCAATAAACATGTGTTGGTGGGGGGGTTGTGTTTGCGGAACGATGTATGTTATATTAGTCTTTGCAACTTTACAGATCTTCTTTATGCACCAAGAGCTTGTAACACTCCAAAGAGAAAGGAAAACTTGAAATCGCATCATATGACCCCTTTAATTTGTGTTCCGAAGATGAATGTAGGTCCTACAGGTTTGGAACGACATGAGGGTGAGTGATTAATGACAGAATTTTCATTTTTGGGTGAACTATCCCTTTAACGCCATTATATTGTTCATTCAGACTGATTCGCGAATGCGAAATGCACATGAACACAAGAGGCGGGATTTATCGCATGAACCAATCACAGCCGAACATAACCAGTCAGATCCAATCATATCGCGATGGAGGCATTGTCTCCTCTCTTGTGATTTTTCCCCATTCATTCTCAATTACCCCCCACCAAACTTACGGCATGCTTTAGTTGATCTGTTAAAACTCAATGGGCTCAGGGGAGGCGAGAGAGATGCGGACTCATGCTGTAAATTTACCTGCTGGTGTCGCTGTTGGACAATGTTTCTTTAGAAAAACGAGTGATTTATATACTTTTTAATGTTATATTTTGTAATATTGGCGTTGTTTTATTTTTGTACTACAATTTTTTTTTTCTCATCCAATATTTTGAGGAGTCACTGCCTCCCTTGCCTACTTGGAGGAAATGTCCCTGATATATATTTATATACACACACACACACAATGCTAGGATTAGTAGAAGACTAATCTACTAGATTAGGAAACAAGCTGAGAGCAGAAATGCAGATAACGAGAATGAGACATATAGTTTTAGAGTGTAATTATTTTTTTTTTTAGCATTTATTTATTTTTTTGTTTGTTTTAGTTTTTTTATACATTTAAACATTTACTCAAAAATTGTTTTTACCTAAAACATATAATTTATGACTTAAACATGTCAGCAGTCATTACTTGTGTCGATTAAATGAATAACTTCAAATCAGATTCATAAATTCATAAAATCAGATGCAGTATGATCATAGAAGTGGTGTAACAATTCACATTTATTTGTATGGTGCTTTTCACAATTAGGGATGCAACGATTATAGATTTTGTTGGTACGATTATAGTCTGAGGAATAATCGCCGTTTCACGGTTATCACGGTTATTATGCATTCATTAATTTCACAACACTATTAGTTTATAAAATCACATGAACACTCTTTATATTTTAAAGTGTTATTTATTGCTGCCTTTTGAAACAGACATAACTCAGTAACCAAATAATACAGCACAAAATAATAATAAAAACTAACAAAAGTCCATTTTTCTCTTTGGAATTAAAGAAAAGTGAAAAAGGTTTCTGACTTAAACATAAGTAATACTTTAACGCTGATAATAAATAACAATCAAAATAAAAAATAGTCTTTGTCTATTTGGAATTAAATATAAGCTACATATTAGCCAAGTATTTCCCTTTTAAAGAAAAAAATTTTGTGAAATGCTGCTGGACCTCTGTCTGAAAGGCTCTTTTGATCAACTATATTACAAAATTGTTTTGTATTTTCAGTTTGTGTATTTTTTTCTACAATTTTTTGGACCAGAGTAGAAACATAGTGGGGGAAAAAAAAAATTGCTGGCTTTTGACTTCAACAGTATAGCTGCCTTTTGAAAAATAAATAATACAGTACAGTGAAATAAATAAAAAGAAACAAGGTCCACATCTCTGGAATTGAATATGAGCTAGCTATGCATATCCTTTTGGAACAAAACAAGGAATCAAAGGCTGCAGGACCCACCTACATCAGGGCCTTTTTACAAATTGCACACTTATTTCCAGTCCTTTCAGTTCATATTATAGTGCAGAGATGTAAGCATGTTCATATTCTTAGTGCTCAGTCTTGACCGATGAGGAGACAGGATATGGCCACTTGCACTAAACACCCTTTCCGAGGGCACACTTATTGCAGGGATACAGAGGTACTTTCTGGCCACTTTTGAAAGCATTGGCATTTCTTCCACATGTGCCTTCCACCAAGCCAGTGGGTCAGAATCAGCACTGATTGCAGGAAGGGACAAGTATAGTTTTACCTCTGAGTCAAGTTTTTCTTGGATTGATGGCATTGCATGTCCTCCTGAAGCTTGTGACCTGTTCTTCTTTGCACTGGTGATTTGCTGTAACAGCCCAGACAGGCTCTTCTCATTCCTTTTGGTGGTGGTAGATGAGGTGCTCTGTGTGGTTGCTGCTGGAGGATCTTCTGTGTCTGGATGTGATGCAAGTGCCATTGCTTCATCACTGCATGCCTTGACTGTGTCATCCAGATTCTCAGCAAAGCTTCCTTTGAACCTGGGATCCACAAAACTGGATATGTTCAGAACATTCTTCATTTCCTCTGTATATCTCAGCTGCATTAACAGGTCTTCTCTTATTACACATTTAATTTGTTTAGTGAGAGCACAGTCTTCCTCTTGATCTTGAAGAATCTCTTTGTTAATGTGCTCCAAGACTGGCTTCAGGGAGGAAAGTGTGACTTGTTTCTCTGAGGCCAGGACATCAGTGAAATCATGGAGAGGACAAAGAAGTTGGCTTAGTTTCTCCAGGACAGTGATGTCAGTGTCTTTAGGCATAAGATGCCAGGTGCTTCTGTCTCCTGTTAGCACCCCACAGATGGCCTGCTGCTGCTCCAAGAACCTGGAAATCATTTCAAATGTGGATCCCCATCTGGTGACCACATCATGTATCAGTAAATGCTCAGGGATGTTCAATTCTGCCTGCTTCTTTTGAAGTTCACGTTTCCGTTTCTGCTTCAAGAAAAGCCTTGAACCAAATGTCGCTATGCTCTGGTAGCGGATTCAACCCTTGGCATCTTGAGGACTTTGGAAATGGCCAAATTTAAATTATGACCAAAACAAGGAAACCAAACACAGGGAAATGATGCAAAGGCTTTCTTCGTGTTACTGGCATTGTCTGTTGTAATTCCAGACAGATTCTCTTTCTTTATCTTCCAGTCCAGGAGCATGTTTTCTATCATTTCAGTGATATGCTCTGCTGTGTGGTCTTCTGGAAAATAAAGAGTCTCAAGACAGTGAGTCTTAAGCTTCCAATCAGTAGAGAGGTAGTGGACTGTAAAGCTCATAAAGGGTTCTCCTCCACCACCATGGCTGGTCCACAGGTCTGTGGTTACGCCAAACCACACACCTTCTGCCAGCTGTTCCTCCACACTTGCTCGTACCTCCTTGTACATGGCTGGGATTTTGTTTGTGGAGAAGTAGCTTCTTGTTGGAACTTTGTATTGTGGCACTGCTTTTTTCATCAGATGAAGAAATCCAGGTTTTTCCACAATCTGAAATGGCATCATATCTTTGGAGATGAAATAAGCCACTGCTTTATTCAAATCCTGGGCTTGTTTTGAAGTGGGAGCATAAGTCACACACTTTGCAAAGGATTCTGCAACAGTTGGTTGTTGAACTGCAGCTACACCACTAGTCTTGAGCTAAAAGTGAATAAGAAAAATTGAAAAAAAAATAAAAAATCCATACCAAGATGACCTTTGACTGGACTTGCAGGAATGATTTAAGTTGATTTTCAATATTTAATTACATTAACAATTATATTTCTATAATATTTAATATTATTATTAATATAAGACTAATATTAACTTATTAACTGAACTGTTATTGTCATCAACTATCATCCATACATATTCATTTTAATAATTTTTAATAATTAATCTAATTTTACACGCGTCTTTACACATTACATTACATTACATGCGACTTTGTTTACATTGCACTGAAAGCCCACAACTCTCACCGCTACGGCATTGATTGTAAGTGACACGTTTATATTTAATTCCCTACCAACATATTTCATTAAGTTATTTGCCACGTAATTTAACTCAGTTATTATGTATTACCTTTACTTGAGCGTGCAAAGCTGGGTGGTGATCCTGCAGGTGCTGCATCAAATTTGATGTA